TAGGTGCTTAATCACTGACAGTTTTAATAAAGATATTTTAAAATGAAAAAAAGGTATTTTAAAATTGGTCTTAAATTTTATATTTCTTAAATTATTCATTAAAAATCATTGATGGTTAACTCTTCCAAATTACCATTTTGCCTTAAACAAAGAATCCCTTTGGATACAGATAAACTTTATTCCCAAAATAGGTTTGGGAAATAGCTAACTTTAGAGGGTGGCTATTAGCATTATATAAGACTTTGCTATGCGGTTTTAAAATGTTTAATTCTTTTGGTGCATTTAAATAAAATTTGATTAATTAAAATTACAATTTGGATGGAACAGTCAACTTAAAAGATTGCCTATGTTTTTAAACCTTTGTTTTATTCTGTCTCATTGCACTGCCTTTTCCTTCCTAATGCTTTACTGCAGAGGGTAGTTGGTTATTAGTTAATGGGAGTAAGTGGTCCATATTTTAACTTTCATGAGCCTGCTGTGTTCATCACTGGGCTACCTTTGACACAGTTGGTACTCAGTAGATATTTTCTTTGAATAATAAATATATGCATTGTAGGCACAGATGTATGTCCTCAAGGGATTGTCTCTTTGAGACCTGCTCTTAGTATGAATATAGACACACCAGACCACTCATTTTTTTAAATAGTTTATTGTCAAGTTGGTTTCCATATAACACCCAGTGCTCATCCCCCCAAGTGCCCTCCTCCATGCCCATCACCCCCTTCCCCTCCCCCCCACCCCCATCAGCCTTCAGTTTGTTCTCATCTCTTAAGATGCAGTCATACTGGACAAAATATTCATATGTAGGTACTGTTCTGTATCTCCAAATCCTTCCCTCAGGTGAGTTCTCGCCCAGTGGAAACAGGACAGAGTGCTGTCCACTAGTTACAGAATGGAACACGCCCACACATGAAACGTAATCCTAACAGTTACACCACAGTGGGTGACAGATGCAAGATGCCAAGAACTAGTTCTTAAGGGCAGAGGGGGAAGGAGAATATTAATCAGGTTTAGTGCAGAGCCTGACATAGGGCCTGATCTCACAACTGTGAGATCATGACCTGAGCTGAAATCAAGTGTTGGATGAGGCTTTATCGATGGAGTCCCCAGGCACTCTGATTTTTACATTTTTAAATGTATAATGTAAACATTTGGAAACATTCAAAAGAAGATACGAAATTGATGTGAAATTCAGGTAGAAGGATCCATAAATAAAAATTTGTTGGACCCCAACAGTGGCCACTGAATGTAACTGCTGTGGTGCTACAATGGCAGAGTTGAGTTGGAACACACACCATGTACTGTGGAATGTTTCCTATGTACTGTATGTCCCTTCACATACAGTAATTTATTAATCCCTACTGTATGTGGTGGATTTAGTTTCCTTTTTTTTTTCTGCTTAGAGATTTTTCTCTTTGTCTTTTAACAATTTGTGCATTGAGGTGTCTAAGTGTGGGTCTCTTTGTCTAACTTTTACTTGGGGTTTGTTTAGCTTCTAGGGTCTGTAATTAATACTTTTAATCAAATTTGGGAAGTTTTGGGCCATGATTTCTTCAAATGTTTTTGGTGCCTCCTCAGTCCTTTTGTTTTGGGACTTTTATCAAATGTTTTTACATTAATAATGTCACACAGGTCTCTGAAGCAGTGTTCAGGTTTTATCCTTTTTTTCTCCCAAAAATTACTGTCAGACTTTTGACATGATGGTATAAGGAGGTCAACAATTTTTTCCTAATAACATTGGACAGAACAGTCAAACACATATATCAGTGCTCTGGAATTCAAACACATAAAACAAACTGAGAAGCATTGATTCATTAAATTACTGAACTTTAGGCAAGAGCAGTGAGTTTGCAGTTATGAGCTGTATCCTTTTGCTATAATAAATTGTAACTGAATATAACCACTTCTAAGCCTATCAGATCACTGAAATCCATTCTGTTGATGGACATTTGGGTTTCCAGTCTTTGCCTCTTACGTATATTGTTGTTGTGATGTTTCTTGTAAAAGTCTTTTGGTGATTGTGTATACGTATTTCTTGTAATATCTACCTAAGAGTAACATTGCAGGGTTTCATTCAGCTTCAGTATGTATGTACTGCCCAAAGTTTTCCAGAGTAATTTAACCAGTTTACCCTGCAGCTAGCCAGGCTTTACTTTATGCAGTTCAGATTAGTAATATTTTTTCCCTTAAGGTTAGTACTTTCTTATAATCGTGTTGGGGCACCTGAGTGGCTCAGTCGGTTGAGCATCTGACTTTGGCTCAGGTCATAATCTCCCGGTTTGTGAGTTCGAGCGCCGATCGGGCTCTGTCCTGCCAACGCAGAGCCTGCTTTGGATCCTCTGTCTCCCTCTCTCTGTGCCCCTCCCCTGCTTTTTCTTATTCCCTGTCTCTCAAAAACAGAGAAATATTTTTTTTTTAATCTTGTTTAAGAAACCTTCTGCCCCAAAATTATATTGGTTTCTTTTTCACAAATAGATCTGCCATCCATCTAGAAACAAGTCACTTGTAGGGGTCCTTTTTGTAGATTCCTCTTTATGAATAATGCATAGCTGAACCAGCATGATTTATTGAAAAAAATCTTTTCTTTCCTCACTGTATGTGTCAACTTTGTCATAAACCAGTTAACCATATACATACAGATTTGTTTCTGAGTTTTATATTCTATTTATATGTCTTACTCTGTTTATCGTCCTGTGTCAGTACCAGGCTGTGTTGTTTTCTGTAGCAATATCTTGGTATCTTTTGTAACTTCTGTAGGTTGTTTCTTCTTCCTCAAGATTGCCCAAGCTACTGTAGGCCTTTTAATATATTCATATACATTTTATAATCAGCTCTTCAGTATTCACATAGTAACTGGAATTTTGATTGTGATGACATTGAGGATAGATTAATTGGAAGAGAACTGATCTTTACAATATTGAGTCTTCTACATGGTATACCCTCTATATATCTAGTTTTTAAAATTTGTCTGAATAATATTTTCTGTTTCTTGGTGTAGAGATTTTTCACTAGATTTATTCCTAGGTATTTGGTGGCTTTTGATGCTATTATAAATGGTATCGTTTTAAAGATCTAATTTTCTATTATGTTGGTATATAAAACAGTTTGTTTTTGTGTTTTCACCTTGTGTCCATTGATTTTGCTAAATTCACTCATTAATCCTAAGAGTTTATCTGTAGATTTTTATATACACATTCATATATTTTGTAAATAGTGACAGTTAACTCCTTCCAGTCTTTTTTTTTTTTTTTTTTTTTTTTTTTCATATATAAGTGATATCATATGATATTTGTCTTTGTCTGATTTATTTCTCTTAGCAAAATGCCCTCAGAGTCCATTGATGTTGTGTCAAATGGCAGAATTTCCTTCCTTTTTTTTTTTATAGCTAAATAATATTTGTGTGTGTGTGTGTTTGTGTGTGAGACAGCTTCTTTTATGCTCAGGTGTACAGCGTTGTGATTTGACAATTCTGTACATTGCAAAATGCTCACCACCATGATAGTTACCGTCTGTCACCATACAAATGATTATAGTCTTTAAAAAAATTTTTTTTAGTCTTATTTATTTTTGAGAGAGAGAGAAAGAGACAGCGTGGGCAGGGGAAAGTCAGAGAGAGGGAGACACGGAATCTGAAGACAGGCTCCAGGCTCTGAGCTAGCCATCAGCACAGAACCCAATGCGTGGCTCGAACCCACAAACTGTGAGATCATGACCTGAGTTGAAGTCAGACGCTCAACCGACTGAGCCACCCAGTCGCCCCCAAATTATTATAGTCTTAACTGACTATGTTCCCTATGTTGTACAATCCTGGGACTTCTTTATTTTCTAACTGGCTAGGTATTATTCCACTGTGTGTGTGTGTGTGTGTGTGTGTGTGTGTGTGTATATATATATCACATCTTCTTTATCCATTCATCTATTAATGGAAACTTAAGTTGCTTCTATATCTTGGGTATTAAAAATAACACTTCAGTCAACATAGGGGTGCATATATGTTTTTGAATTAGTGTTTTTGTTTTCTTTAGGTAAATATCCAGGACTGGAATTACTGGTTCATATGGTAATTCTATATTTAATTTTTGAGGATGCTCCATACTCTTTTCCATAGTGGCTCCACGAATATACAACCCCACCAACAGTGCATTCTTACCAACATTCTCACCAACACTTGTTATTTCTTGGCTTTTTGATACTAGCCCTTCATCTCACAGGTGTGAAATGGTATCTCATTTTACTTTTGATTTGTGTTTCCCAATGATTAATGATGTTGAGTATCTTTTCATGTGTCCATTGGCCATTTTCATGTCTTCTCTGGAAAAAATGTCCCTTCATGTCTTCTGCCTATTTTAATTGGATTCTTTGTGGGTTTGTTTTGTTTTGTTTTTTGTTTTTTGGTACTGAGTTGTGTAAGTTCTTTCAATAATTTGAGTATTAACATACCCTTACTGATATGTCTTTTGCAATTATCTTCTCACATCCCTTACATTATCTTGTCATTTGTTGTGGTTTCCCTCACTGTACAAAAGCTTTTTATTTTGGTGTAGTCCCAATAAGTTTAAGAATTATCAATTCTAATTTTTTTCAAAAGAATTACTTGTGGTTTTGTTGATTTTCATTATTGAATGCTTAGATTTCATTTCATTGATTTCTGTTCTTTTATTACCTTATTTCATTATTTCTTTGGGTTGGATTTGCTGTTCTTTTTAAATTCTTTATTATTTTTAATAAGTTTTAATTCGCTTTATTTTTCTTGTACAAAACTATGTGGTGGCCACAGCTGGAGCCTGGGTCCTCTGCATGGAGACTCTGGTGTGGGTCTTTATGACATGGTCAGTGAATTCCTGGTAGGGAGACTTGGTGAACACGGTCTCTTCCCTAAGGTCAGAGTGAGATAGCTGTAGGTCTTGGAAACGGCATCAAAGTGGCCTTGACTGGAAAAGGGAAAACAACAGCAGTGGGTTGATGGCTTCTTGTGACACAACACCCCAGGTGCAAATAGAAACTGTTGCACCCTGAGGAACAGAAAGGCCACTTGGGGCCGTCCGTCATTCATTAGAAGGGCCTTCCTCTCTCTCTGTCTAAAAATATGCCAACCACACACTAAGTATGATTAATCAGAGCTGAGAGAGGTTTCTAGGTTCTTTATATGGAAGCTTAGAACACTGATTTCAGTTCTTTGTTGGTTTTCAGTTTTATGTATTTAAAACTTTAGTCTCTAAGCATTGATGTGCTTATACTCATGAGTTTGATGTGTTGTATCTTTATTACCATTTAGTTTCTTCTTTTTTCTAATATTTCTTTGACTTCTTTGACTCCTGGATTGTTGGAAGTATATTGTCTTAATTTCTAAACATTTGGGGACTTTTCTAGATTATTGTATTATCAGAGAACATATTATGAATTTTTTTAGTTCTTTGAAATTTGCTGAAGCTTATTTTGTATCCTAGTACATAGTTAAGTCTTATAAGTTTTCCATATAACCTAAAAAGAACAAGTATCCCCTAGAGTAGTGTTCTCTATATGGTAAGTGTGTTAAATGTGTTCATTATTTTTTATGTCTTTTATGTATTCACTGATGTATTTTGTCTATCTGTTCTCACATCTTTCAAGAGAGATGTGCTTCTCTTCTTTTTATGTTACTGTTTTGCAGCTGAATTCTGCATTTTAAAAACATTTACAGTGCATTGTAAATTTTATACAGTCTGTATTTACCCTGATATTTATCCATTCTGTTGCTCTTCTTCCTTTTTCTGGATTCCTGTGCCCTCTCCTGTAATCAGTTCTTAGGATTTTTTGTTTGTTTGTTTGTTTTGCTTAGTTTGCATAGGTCCCTGTGCAGCACATTGGTTTTTTGTTTTTTTTTT